GTATGAGAGAGATGCAGAATTTCTAAATTACAGAAGTATATATCTCCTGTATCCCTCCGCAATATAATCACACTGTCGAATATCGTAACTATAGCTTTTTAAAAATGCTAAAATTATAGACACTAGTATAATAGTGTATATTTAATACAAAGATAGCATAATGTAATTCTAGGGGGATTTTATGTTTTGTTTTTGTGTTTTTTACAGTGAAAGAGTTCAAGAGTTTCGTTTCTTGGTAAATACACGGGCGGGTATTTGTGTGTGAGATTAAAGCATTAACTCCTCCCGCCCGGGCTGTCTAGATTACACCAAACAAGGTAACCCTAGACAGCAAGGAAACAGCAGCGGGTTGAAGGCAAAACGGAAACAACAGAGATTGTCAGGAGTCGTTTGTTGTGGACTAGCTGATATTCTGCGTTGTTACACGCAGTTAAGACTCACAGCTGTTTTGTTTCGTGTGTGTTTCGCTATGCCTTCGTTTGGAGCACTGGGACATACTCTGTCCACTTCGTTGATTTTTGCCGTCGCCTTCCTCTGTGTTAGCTTTGTTAGCCAGGGGGAATGCCAAGCAACTCAAGCGCCACCAACTCGTAAGTATAAGTGGAGTTTTAAAAAATCTGCCCAATGACTTTTTTTTTTTACAATCATCTAGCTTATTTTTATCCAGCACGTGCCTTTAAAGCCAGTTCATAAGTGTGCCAGCTCAGTAGTTGGGAAATATTTAAAATACGTCACGATTGAGTGTGACTTCGACCACAGCTTTCTGCTTGTTTTTAAACGCAGTGTGTTTGTCTGTCTTTCAGCCTGCTCTTCCTATAAAAACTGTGACACCTGCGTCCCACACGCCAAGGTAAGGCTGTCAGCAGTGGTTGTGTTCGTTTGTACGCGATAAACCAAACCAAACCTTTGCTCAATGCAACAAACTTGTAAACGCTGGATTTATGATCCCTCGTTTGCGTCTTCGCATTTGGCGTCCTACATTATTCCGTGTTCTCATCAGGCCGCATGAGAGAAACTAAGTGTGGATTACTGCGTTAAACCCCACATGCTGCATTTACAAATCAACAGAAATCACTCACTGTCAGTTTTCTGAAGGTCATTTTGTTGTTACAAATGCAGCATTGAGTTCAGATAGACGGCAGCAAAAATCCAAACTGGGCCTTATTATCCCCCCCGAAAAAGAGAAAGGACAGTTGGGAGAACTCACCATCCTGTGCATTACTGTGACAGTGGTTTGGATGGGAGAATGGTGAATGTTTTCCAGTAGAAGATCAAAATTTGGGAAATATACTGATTTATTTATTTTCTGGTTAATGCTGCACCACACCCCTCATTTAGTAGTCCTTTATGGATAGCTTTATGCAGTACCCTTTTCTAACTAAAAGACTTAACTGACACAAAGCAATTTTACTAATCTAAGCCAAGTTGGCAAACTTGGTGTAAAAGTCATTAAAACAAAAGTGATCCTCGACATATTAGCCAAAATTCTGGCTCACACATATGAGTTGAGTTCCCACCTGGCAGATCTATCACTTAATTACAGATACGCCACATCTCAACTCATCGTGTGTGTGTGTGTGTGTGTGTGTGTGTGTGTGTGTGTGTGTGTGTGTGTGTGTGTGTGTGTGTGTGTGTGTGTGTGTGTGTAAAGCACGCCTGTCCACATGTACAGGCCCATCTTAAGTTTGCCAGTGAACATGTAAATGATTCAGAGAAACATGAAACCAAATGGACGTCTTTGACACCCGACCCACCGTGGTTGCCTCTATTCCCCCAATCAGCATTATGCATTGGGGCTGTTTTTCTGCTAAGGGTAGAGCATAACTTGGGAATCAATGGTGGCACGGTGAACAGCACTGTTACCTCACAGCAAGAAGGTCCTGAGTTTGATTCCACCCCCTGGCCGGGGCCTTTCTGTGTGGAGTTTTCTCTTTGTGTTTGCGTGGGTTCTCTCGGGATACTCTGCCTTCCTCCCCCAGTTTAAAGACATGCAGTTGGTGGGGTTAGGTTAATTGGTAATTCTAAATTGTCCATATGTGTAAATGTGGAGTGAACGGTTGTCTCTCTCTGTGTTCGCCCTGCGACAGCCTGGCGACCTGTCCAGGGTGTACCCCGCCTCTCACCATATTGTAACTGGGATAGGCTCCAGCCTATGTTTTTAAATACACTGTCATTTACATATAATTTCCACTTAGTGATGCACAGAAATGGACTTTTCAGTCCTTCAGTGTAAGAAGGACTGAAAAGATTTTTTTTAAGATCTTGTGGAGGTGGTAAGGTAGGTTGTGTCTGCTGGTAGACTTTCCTGAGGAGTATAGTAATGTTCTATTATCGCTTAGTTTCTGAGGTTTTTTTTGGACAGCAAAATATCCACGTCAACTAATATCTGGCTGATATCAAGTGCTACAGAAATGATGTTGTTCACATCCTGAAGAGGATTGCAGTATCTGGACAGAAAAAACAAACTGCAGATAATAAACGAATAAATAGTTTATGGTACTTATTTGTTCAACGCGTCCACAAAATGATGTCACTTTTATGAAACTTGAAGCATAAATGTAATCAGCACAGGTAAAACATTAACGCTATGCTGTAAATAAACTAAACCCTGTTCATGACTTTAATGTCATAGATTCCACGTTTAGTGCGGTGAAATCTAATGACGAGTTTTTAGTCTCGTTTAACACCCACATGTAGGAATAAATACAAATGAAATGTGTGGCAAAATGCTAACTTTATTTTTAAGAATCATTCCTGTGGCCTTCTTCATTCGTGCATCCTAACTATTATACTCCGCAAAATCATACCTTACATGTGTCTGTCTGTTGCAGTGTCTCTGGTGCTTTACCACAAACAACTGCACAGAGTATCCAGTGACCTGGTTGCTGCCTCCGGCTAAACTGTGCCCATTGTCCCAGGCCCGCTGGGGAGTGTGCTGGCGTAAGTTCATCAGACTTATTATTGTGATGTTAAATGTGGTGTTTCCTTTTTGCATTTGTGTTTCATTTGACACAGAATAAGTTACATACATATTGGGGAAATGATTTGAGGAACTTGGTGTTCAGTATGCTGGAAATGTAACTCTTCAACCTACGCGTTAAAAGAAAAAGTAGGTAAAAGGGTATTAAAGCATAAAAACAAAAGCTCTTCATCCAAAACAGCAACCTGTTATAGTCACAGATGTGCGACCTAAAATGACCTCCTGTATGTCTGAGGGGAGGGATTTATCATTAGGCATGCAGCGGTGTGAAAGTAGCACCAACACTTTCTGTTCCTCTCAGGTCACTTCAGTTGTAGTGGGTGCATTTAAAGATCCAGCACATCGTTCTTGCTTCACTCCACCTGCTCCCTCTGCTCCCTCTTGTTTCTTTAGAAAAAAAGTTGTACTCCACAAGAGACGTTATCCATTGTCTCTGTAGGCAGGCAGGAGCATTTGCAGCAATAATATGCAACAGACACACCAATCCTAGGAACATATGTTTTCCATAACCAGGAAGAACAAACCCACACACACTGACTGGAGTTATTTTTGCTTTAGATTCATTTTCAGTTTACCTTTTCTCATACTTTAAGTTACTACTTTTTTTATACTTTCTAACCTAAAGGAAGTGAACCTGCCACAGTCCTGCTTTGCTGACTACAACATTAACTACAAATATTGTGGATAAATAGATTAGCTCAGCCAGGCACATACACGTGGCTCTTTGTACGTCCGTGTCCAGCAGCATCAGCAGGAACTCGCTGCCCAGTTAAATAAAGTGTTTTATAAAATCAAAACAATGTTTTACTTTTCAGCAGAGCAGTTCTTTTTTCCCACTGCATATTAATTATTGTAATTCCCCGCGTGGTTTTTATAGTTTGTGCTGGAAATTCCTCTATAAATGTTTCAGTCGGTCCCACAGCTACACAGAACGGCTCGCCTATTCTTGCCCCGCTCTCCCAGCTGGTGCTCCGGCTCCTCTGCCACATATCTTTCTGAATTTGTCCTGATATGTCATCAGGGGTGTCCCAGCACCTCTTTCTTGAAGCTGTACCACAGATGATTCACAGCAGTAGGTTTCTCAGGCTGTCCTGGCTCTAGACATTTACATAAAGTCCTGCAGAAGTGTTTGGCTCTAAATCAAAGGTGACATGCTCAGTGAGCATAAAAGCACTACAGAGGTAGCACAGAAATGTACTGCCTGTCTTATCGCCAGGAGATCTATTTACAGTGAGAGCTAAGTGAACTGTAAATTTAAGCGTAGAGGGATTCAACTGGAATATTATAAATTATAATGTTGTTGCCTTATTTTACTGCCAAATGTTTGGCCCCTGAAATAAACCACCGTTCTTTAACTTAAGAAGTAAATGATCTTTCTCTTTCTCCCTAACACAGTAAAGTACGTTTAGCTTGACACTGCCAAACAGACTCCACAGCGAAGTAACCGAGCTAACGTGACCTAATGTTTGTATAAGATGTTAAAACTGATATTCAACTGACACAAATCGTATGTGAAAACCGGCTTATGTTATGTGTATTAATTACCCATAAAATTTTCACAGTCAACTGCAGCACCATGCAGGAAATATGACTGGGACCCTGCTCTTAGTCACAGTAGTGCAGACACCTCGGTGACGTATGTTCCACCTCACCAGAGGTAATGCTGATAATTCTCAGTGGTGAAATGAGTCTTTAGAGCCTAACCCATAAGTGTCAAAAACCTTTGAATGCTGGTGCAGTTTCTACTGAAAATGTAAATGTATATTCAGTACAGATGAGGAAAAAAAACATTGTTAATTCTGTTATTAATTTTCTCAGTCTTAAAAATAACAAGAGAACTGATGCGGTCGCACGGAGCCTACTGGAGCAGTAAGGTGTGTCAGTGTTCAAACTTCACTGGTAGCAAACAGAAAGTTGTGTAAATGCAAACACTTTATTGCTAATCGGGAACAGCTATAAAACCAAAAGGGTGCAAAAGGGCCGGCTACTGGCACAGCATTTAAATGTGATGCACTAACATCAGGCAAATGTTGTTGAATATAATGTGTAAATATTCCTCGTGTATGGAGTCGACACATGCTGTCATTTGAGTAGGTGGTAGTTACTTTGTGTTGACAGCTGGCAGCTCTTCTGTATCACGTACATTTTCAGATGGAAGGAAACTGTCTGTTCACTCTGGTGTAAATAAAGTACACGTGACATGTCACATCTGGTTTTTACTTACAGTTGAACATGAAAAATACTGAGGTATGAACGTACACTACCAGTGCCTTCTTAATCGGGTTGGGACCATCAGTTGTGTTGTGCAGAACTCAGCTATCAGCTGTGTACCAACCTAAGGGAAGAGAAACGACATTACATTAAGAGCTGAGGGTCGGTCAGTCTTTGCTAAAACTTTAAATGGGACTTGGAGTGCAGTTGGAAAAACCAACAAGTGCTACGATGAAACTGTCTCACACGAGGACGCCTCAGGAAAGGAAGACCAAGAGTCCCCCCTGCTGCTGGGGATCCATTCATCCGAGTCACCAGCCTCAGAAATCACAGGTTAACAGCAGCTCAGATTAGAGCCCCGATAGATGCCACACAGAGCTCCAGTAGCCGACACAGAAACGTGAGCAGTTTTAGGCCACAGCTGCGCATGCGTGCATGCTGTGGTTTGTCCTGTAAAAGGAAAAGAGAAGACGCAGCAAAATGTGGGCACCACTCTGGCAGTGTTTCGGGGTCACGTGATCCCTCCCTCTGCAGAACAAAACCAGTTTCCATACGGTTAAGTCATTTGTGCTCTTTTTCTCTGGAAAGTGAGAGGCTTGTTTGTGGTTTGTCATGTTTGCAGTGCAATAACTTGCAGAAGCCAGCAGGTGGTGTCATTGACACACATGTAGAGCACATTGTCATTACAGTGGCAGCGTGTGATGGCTTCTAGTTACCTTTATCACGTGGTCCAGTGAGAATATCTTCTTGTGAAAAATGAATAAATTCTCTTTTTTTCAGTGAACTTTGAAGCCCTGATCATCTCCATGGCTGTGGTGTGTGGAGTCATTCTCCTCGCCATTGCCGTCTGTTGCTGCTGCTGCTGCTGCAAGAAGCGCCCTTCAAGGTAACATTACAAGTCCGAGGTACAGGAGTTTTAGAAAGCTGTGTCAGATGCATGAAAGCACTTAGTGGGCCAATGCTTTTCGGGATGAAAGAGCACTACATGGGAGCACTTTTCACCTCAGAGTTAAAGCAACAGCTGTGTCCAGGAAAACACAGCATGTAGTGTTGAAATGGATTACACAGAACAGTTTGGAGTAGATGTCACAGTTACTTCCTTACAGTTGTGTGCTCATTATAATGGCAGAAAAAACAGGAAACAAGTGAAAGAAAACCAGAAAGATCCCTGCTTCTGCTAGCGCTAAAGAACCCAGGTTGCTCACATGCTACGATAATGTCAACATTCAATGATTAGTCATGTTATCTGTGCTCAGGTATTTATTTCACCTTCAGTCTTTAGACTGCATCTTATCACTGTCTTTACAAAGTGAAGACGGAGGGGGTTTCTTTGTCAGACCACAAAGTCCACACTTTGTTTCATGGTTCATGTGGAAGCTTTAGTGGTTTTCACCCATGTCCTGTATAGGTGCAACTCATTGTTGCTGTTGCAAACATTACTTTGGCTTTTTAATCAAAGTAGAGCTCCTTTCATGCTCTCACTGTTGTTCCTGTAGGGAGGGGGGGGGTGAAAATGTCATGTCAGTCCGCTACAGTCTGGCCTGTCACTCACTTGCAGTCCTGTGGGTGCAGGAATCTCGTTCTTGTCTATCATGTGATTGAAAACTTGGGGAAAGCTCACATGTATTACTGTTATGCACACAGATATTAATTTAATATCATTACAGTCATGTTTTCGTCTTGTTTTACTCTTTTTGGGGGTTGCCTCCAAGCATTTTACTTTGTGCATGTTAAACCTTCTTTTGTATTTGGCATTTTCATTGTGGAACATAAAAAGAAAACACTCTCTGCACTCAGGCACACATTTCATGAGTCTTATATAAATGATGCATAGACCTTCAATCAGAGTAACCCTAAAGCTAATGTTAGTTTGTAGCTGCGTGTCATTTGTCACATCCAAAGTGTGTTTTTGTCATCTTCTGGTTCCACGAGGAGCAGTGATTCTGATGCTGCCTTCATGTCTCCTTCACTCTTAAGGTTTGACAGAGAAGAGGAGAGATCTGCCAAGAGGAGGGAGGAGATCAGACAGCGCGCTGAAGAACGGTGAGACCTAGACTCACACCTTAGTCTACACAGGTTGGAAATGTCTGCAACGGTGTTTATTTCAGTAACACAGGAGCCTCTTTCTCTGCATTTAACTCCAAACCGATCTTTGCTGTGTCATTCCTCTCTGGATCAAACACTGCTCGTTATTTACAGAATATTTACACACGTAGTCACGAAGTTACAGGTACATGTTTAGAGGTCACTGTTTGTTTTCCTTTACCCTGCTGCAGTGTTTTCTCAGTCACCACACTGCTGCATCAAGTAATTATTTGATCCTCTGCTGAATTTGTTGGCTTGCTCGCTTTTAAAGAAATGAACAGTCTTTCATTTTTGATGCTAATCACAACAGTTATATATTTTATATCAAGTGAACGTCAGCGTGGTGGGTGGCATTGCCTTTCAGCATATCCCAGTAGGACTTGGATATAATTGTCCTAAAACAGAACAGTTCATCATCCCCCAACAAAAGAGTTCATTGTATGTTTGGGAGTCGAGCAACTGGTGTCCATCCAGCCTCAGCAAGTCCACGTCCCAAAGGAGAAGCTCCGGGTTCCTCTGCTGTCGTCCCAGAACACCAATTGGATTGTCAAAGCTGGGCAGCTGCTTCATGGTAATGTGCTCATAAATAGATTGGTTTACATCCTGTGTACTACAGTCAAAGAAACAGAATCATCCAGCAGTCAGCAGACCCGAAAGGCTTCCCTCTTCCTGCACCCCATAAATGTTTCAGCCTTCTCTTCTTGTTCTGTTCCTTTACTTCCAGTGCCAGGATAGCTGGCTGATATGTTTGTGAGCAGGGCAGTCGAGCCGAAAGATGGTCAGTAACTGTGGTTTATCATCACGCTCGGCGTGCTGGGCACATCGTGGCTCACTGTGCGCCTCGTGTGTTTGAGAAAGAATGAATTATCCGACCTCTGAGCTCTTCTCTCTCGTGCTGCAGAATTGAGTCAGGGTTTCCTGCAGTGAGCATGATCAAATCTCTGAAGTTGGAGTTAGTGCAGTGACCTACATAGATGCAGTTCATGTTGTCAACAGGACATTCGGAATAGATTGGACCCATCCTAAGAGAGACTAGCGCCTGTAGACAGTGCTGCTTGGCCTCCGGAGAGCCAGCTTGAAGCACAGAGTCATCCGAGCCCAGGCGGGCCGGGGAGTCGACCCATGCAGCTATATATTTCATATTTCACATGCTGATGTTGCAGGAGAGCTACCTAAGAATTTTAATTATAATTTTGTATCTGATCAAATGCTAAATTATTAAATCATTTTAATAAGTATCTCTTGAACCTCTTGTTTCAGTGCTGTTTAAGAAGTCTGCATGTCCATGTAACATGCTGCTCAGGCTGCTTATGTTACAGTCGGCTAACAGCCAGGATCTGTTCCTGTTGGCTTGTATCTGGTTTAGCTTGTCAATAAGCCAAAGTGTTGTAATGTGTCAAGTCTTAATGCACAACAATACTATGTGAGAAGTTCATTGTAATCCACTGACATGATGCTTGGGTAACACATACAGTTTCATGTATCTATGATGATAATATGTACTGAATATGGGCCAAAATTCGCAGCTGTTACTCCATTATTTGTGTCCATGCTCCTTGGCTGAGTCATGGTAACAGCTGGAGAAAAAAATCATACACACAGGCTTTTTTTATGCCATGTATTCAGTTTGAATTTTGTTTTAATCTCATGTTGATGTGACTCTTTAAGTATAGCCAAAATGCATGTTTTCTAAACTGATCACACATCCAGGGTATTGAAGCTGTGATATGGCATGATACTGATGCTCAAAGATGGTTCTAGAAACATTGTTTCAAAGAACAAAAGAGAATTTGGCTTTGTGACACTTGGAGCAGGTGCAAAATGAAGTTGGTTGCAGGTCTGAGCGAAAGGCTGAAGGTGTTTTTCAGCCTTGAAATTTTCTTATTATCTTTTGTATTTATGAAGTTCTCAGGCGTCAAGAATTTAAAGTAGTTCCCTTTTTATTAGATTTTTTTTTTCTTAGATTGCACAAATAACTGAAAGTTTCTTTTAGCCTTAACTTTTAACTGAACTTGAGTTGGGAAGGTTACTTTTGAATGTATTCCATTACAGATTACATGCCCTAAAATGTATTTTGTAATGTATTCCGTTACGTTACTCAACAAGAGTAACGTATTCTGAATACTTTGGATTACTTAACATATTATCATGCTTTTTACAACTACATGAATGTACTACTGCTGTGTGATTTATTAGTATTACTGAAGGTTACTCTCCATACCAACACCAACTAGAAGTTTAAATCTTAATATAAATGAGTAACAGTAGGTGGACATTAGGTAAGGCTGCACTTTTTGCAGCGATCTCGCATAGAAACTATTCAGCGCGTATATAAAACAGGTCCGCGGCTCCGAACTGTAGTAAAGGGACCTCTGGCTAATACGTCGGGTTCATGTCGGGCTCGTAGCCGAAAACTAGCTTTACTTTGTTGTCTGGCTCAACTTTGCTAGCGAGAGACAGAGAGAGGCGTTGAAAGGCTGCTGCAACCAAACTTATTGTTTCAGAGGAAAACACGAACACAGCGTACAGTCGAGTCTTAACAGCTTACTTACAACTAGGGCTGCCACGATTAGTCGACTAGTCACGATTATGTCGCGACTAGTCACGATTATGTCGACTATTAAAATCGTCGACGACTAATTTAATAGTCGACGCATCGTTTGAAGCTTTGTAAGATCACAAAGGACGCAGGAATGAGTAGCAGGATTTAAGAGTGTAATAACGGAGTGAAACAGAAGATGGCAGCACTGCATGTACAAGGATGCCAGCTGCCGTTAAACCCCGAAGAAGAAGAAGCTGTGTCCCAGAATTCATAGCGCAGCCCAGCGCAGTTGTCAACAATGGCGGCAGCTAGTAGTTTTAACTTTACTCTTATTATTCTTTCTGGGTCACAAAATAAACGTTTAACATATTTTCAGGCGAGAATGTAGCTGTGTAAACCTCAAATATCTGCTCGGTTTATCAAGATATCCCATATTTGCAAAAGTGCTTCGACGTTTTCAGAGACGTCTGTTACCCACTAGCTCGTTAGCTAGGCGGGGGCAAGGCTAACTAGAGCCGTGAGAACACCGGACTCCCGGCAAATCGTTTTCAAACCCACCGCCGTCTCTCGCTAGTCAGGTTAAACATATATATAAGTCACTTAGATAACTTAAAAATGTTATTGTTTGGCTTTCTTTAGTATTTTATTTGTTCCTGAGTAAATCGGTTTGGCTGAGATTAAAGTTATAGTTTTTGCACAGCTAAAACTGTCAAGCAGACAGCTGATTATCAGAAGTGTGAGACGCTGGAGAATATACTCCGGTGTCCTGTTATATTTTAGATAGCAAGGAGTTTATTAAACTTCACCGAAACAATCTGCAAATTTCATTAAAATTTAATAAACTACCATCTTGTCTTTATTTTTAGTTAGCACCTTAAACACTTAAAGCTGTAAGCTAATTATAGTTATATAAGAGCAGATGCTGCTGGTGCAAGAAGCTGAACGCTTGTACGTCCAATGGATGATGATCTGATTAGTCGACTAATCGCAAAAATAATCGGTGACTAGTCGACTATCAAAATAATCGTTTGTGGCAGCCCTACTTACAACTGGGCTCGTCAGGCTCTCTTCTTGGCTGCAGTGGTTATTATTATATTTACATGCTTCCAGCTCCCGTTTCTGCTCCGTGACAGCTCCTACTTTTCTCCTTTTTCTCCCTCCTCGCTCACAGACACATCACGGGTATGGCAGTCCATCCTCCCTGCAGCACGGACTACACCGCCCATCAGGCTACATGCTTTAGGGCGATGCCTGTAACACTCTGCTATTGCCTTCATATTAAATAATAAAAAATAAAAAAGATTTCTTCACGTCGTTATGACCGCGAGATTGAGACACGGGCGTTTGAGCCTCTTAATGCATGTTTTGTTTGGGTTTCCACCGGCGTGGAATTACCAAAAATAGAGAGGACATAGCCGAACATATGAAACAGGAAAGTACCGCAGTGTAATCCATTTATTTCAGCAAAGTAACTGTATTCTAAATACCACCCTTTTAAATGGTAACTGTAACGGAATACAGTTACTCATATTTTGTATTTTAAATACGTAACAGCGGTACATGTACTCTGTTACTCCCCAACACCGCTTGTAGTATCCCATTTTCATAAATTATGAGTGGTATTGTCATGATGGAGAAGTCGAGCACCTTCAAAACCTTTAGTCTGTGTAGTGAGCCAAGCTCAGTGCTCACGTTCTTTCAACTTTCCCTTTTTTCCGTCTTCCCTGCAACATGTTGAATGCAGCCATATTTATGTGGAGGGAATGTGAACGTGTCAGTGCGATGCACACAGGCCATCGGCGTGGCTTAGGGGGGCGGATGGCAGACACATCTTAACCCACCTGATTGCTCACAGATCAGTACATAGCAATAAAGCAGCGACTGCCACACACCAGAGTCTTTGAGCTGAGATGAAGTGAAGTGAGGCCTCTGGACTTCCACTACACAAAACCTGCCCCTCAGAAAGGCTGAGTGAGCAGCTTTACCACAGGCCTGTTGCTCTGTGAGTCACTGTCAGCTAAAATTTAGGAACATTTTTATGCCAGGAGTGCAAACTGATGCATTTTTCTTACTTGGTAAGCTGAATGTTATTGTGCTTATTGAAATGTTGTTTAAACGATGTCGTGCATAATAAGTATTTGGGAGTATTAGGTATTGATGGTTGCATAAGTGCCCACATATCATGACTGGCTGTTTGTAATGTTGTGGTGCAGTGTAGCTTAAATGTTTCTTGGCGAGTAGAAGTGCTTGATGGGTTTGCTCTGTAAACTTGTGCATATGTAAACAGCTGTTTTAAAATAACAAAGCTGCAGAAACTTCTGGAATCGCCACTATTTCAGCCATGGTTCTCTGTAAAACCTGTTTTTCATTGGAGTCAACAGTAGAGCCAAAAACACTCATAGCTACTAACACACAGAGGAGAAATGGCATTCATCACCTGAACTCAGAGTTGCCTCCTTAGTGCTCAGCAGCCTTGTTGGTGACGCCTGTGAGCAGGTAATCGGTCATTATCTAAATAAACAGGCAGAGAGCCAGAACCTAAATTTACTGCACAGACTCACCAAAAGTTTCCAGAATCTAATGAAAAAGTTTGGTAACTTTTCCCAGACTTTGCCTGCAAGTCATGTGTAAAGTTTTTACAACAGTGCGGCTTCATCAGCAGCTCAGTCCAGAGTTACTGAACAAATACCACATTTATCTATGACTACTGCAGCCCAGCAAAAAAAACATAGTTGCTCAACCCTAAACATAGACTGGGATGAGTGCATATGTCTGCCGCTGTGCAACTGATCTAACATTTTTAGATCATCAAACAAATTTGAGCATTAGACAAAGATAAACCAGCGAAATATAATATAGATGTGCATAGACGGGGTATTTTCACATAGGGCCAGGTAGGTTTGGATTTGTCGGACAAATATGTGACGAGCAGATAAAAAGAGAACTTAGGACGAGGGTGAAGACTTTTTAAGCAGCAGGAAAGGTTCTTCAGTCCAGCTGTTGATTTGGTGTCGGGAGCAGGACATCTGTAGCATTTCAGAATTGTCCCACAGAGTTGTTTTCAGGATTCACTGGGTGTCCCATTGTCTCATTACAGCTGACGTCTGTGTTGCAGTCATTTATTTCCATGTTGTTTCATTAAAGTTTGGATACTTGGCTGTATCCAAATATGGAGGCCCAGTTAGAGTTGAATGATGGCTCTCTACCTTGAGAGTTGTCTTTCTCTGGAGTGTATTTGGCACTAACAGAGTGAATACTTCCTGACCTGTTGACTAACTTCCTCTACTTTTTTTTTTTTTTTTTTTACAGGAAGGTGGAGAGAATGGCACGCCACGATGAGATCAGGAGGAAGTATGGTGCGTATAGACTTTGCATATGGACTTTAGCTCCTTCTCTTTGATCATAGTGTTTGTTTCCAGCCCTCTCTGATGTACACTGAAGGTGAGGTGACCAGTAGGTCTGACACGGAGTAGCCAGCTCTGTGTTCTCTGTTCTGTGTGTGTCAGCAGTGTCTCTGATGCATGCTTAACTATTTTAAGAGTTTTTCAGTGTCAGTGACTTTGATTTCCACACCCTGGGCCACTGATACATTATTCAACAGAATATGCTTCGTCCCCAAGCAACCTACACTGTAGGTGTACATGAACTAGGCGACATAGGGTTTTCAAATTGATGCCATAGGTGCATAAGCTAGGAGGCTGGGGGAGCTGTCAGTATCTTTTACTTATCTCCTATTTATTAAATAAACACCTTTTTTCTATCGCTAACGGCTGTACAAAATGTAACATGAGACCATCCCTCACTTGAAGAGCCTGCAAAAATCCCAGGAATGTGGCATTTCTCCTCGCTGCCATACCAATTTGTCTAGCTCACCACTTCACCAGTTAGCATGGGCTAACCTGAGCTGGACAACATCATTATTATACTGATATTCAGTATTAATGCTGGTGTCTCAGTTGTGTTACAATAGATATGACACACTCCACACACAATAGTGCAACATAATAATGGCTAAGCTGCTGGTGTCATCAATAAGAGTGGCAATAATAAAAGCTTGAATGTTTTCATGAACCATGAACTCAAATGAAGCTTTGCCAGTTTAGTTAGCAAAACGTTTGTGTGTAATAAACGGCTGCCTGAGCTGTGCTGTAATTAAAAGCTAGGAGTTTTAGATGACCTAAAAGCAAATCCTATTTTTTGTGGAGCTCATTTAATCTCCGTGTTTGTATGCAGTTAAAGTAGCGGTCCCTGCTAGGCATGGGAAAATATGACAACCACTCTCCGGTGCTCAGAGTTGTGACTGAAATGTTTATGCAATAAAATCTGTTTTTAAGCAGCTGAAGGTACAAAAATAGTCAAACTTTAAAACCTGATCACTACCTCGCATTTGTTGCCACATGCTTTAACTTAATCAGAGCATTTTTGCTGTCAGTGAAACAGGAAATATTCTAAAAATAAATGAGTCATGAGCAAACTACGAGTGTGCGCTGCAGCAAAGTATAGAAGAAGTATCAGCATCACACAGCACTGCTTTCTATTTATTTCCAATCAATGCACTGATTCTAATCCATCGCTCTGCCCTCTGCAGGGAAGTGGGCGGTAAGGGTTGGCCTGTCAGCGGCTCGATAAAGACAGAATCGTTCGTTCGTTCCGTAGATGTGGGAGAAGCTCGAGTGTCCATGCGTGGTGTCTGTCCATCCGTTCACTGTAGTAAGATGTCAGGTTATGTGGGTTGAGTGTAACGACTGCACGACAGAGTGATGGATGGTGGTCTGTTTCTTAGGCCTGCAGCTCTCATTAGTTTCCTTCCACAGGGGCTTTAGTAGAGACTGCTCTCCTTTCACATTTGGTCTGGTCGGTTCTCTACAACTACAATCCACAGCGGAAGATTCCCTGAGGGTGGGTCAGGAGGTTATTCAGCAAAACTGGAAATGATCTCTTGTCATTACCAGTTGAAAATATCCCAGAAAGACAGCACAGATTTGAATTACACGTTTCACTTTTTGCAGTTTAACCCCAGCGCTCTGTCATAGCCTGCATTTAGTTAAGTTTTATTTTTAGGGAGCAGCTGCTGCTTCAAGGTGTTTTATAAAGGGAGGTAGAGACTCTACAATAATACGAAACTGAACACTAGACTTCTACAGTTCTACAGCATGGCGCTGAATGAGCATTAACTATTGTACAGTTGGAGGTTTATTTTGGTTCAAGTCTGAAATTCAATTTTTTCAATTCAATTCAATTTTATTTATATAGCGCCAAATCACAACATAAGTCGCCTCAAGGCGCTTCATAGATACAGAGAAAAACCCAACAATCATATGACCCCTATGAGCAAGCACAGGATATGAATCCTGTATCACTGCACAGTTTGCTTCAAAAAGCCCTCGTCGACTGGAAGAGTGAGAATGTCTGGCAGATTGGTGTTGTAGTGGTAAAAAGAGCTTTCAGTTTCAGCATTGAGTCTACGTCCCAGCTGCACCTGTGGTCATGAGCTGTGGGCAGTGACAAACAGAAGGTTGGATACAAATGGCAGAATCAGCTTAGTCTCCAGGAGGACTCGACTCAGCCTTTAGACATTTGAGAATGTAACCAGCTGAGGAGGTTCAGGCAGCTGATCAGGATGTCTAAGCATTGAGGATTAAACTCAGATCACATTGGAGAGGTTATACATCCTGTCTGGCGAAACATTGCTGGGGTAACACCCTGCTTCACCTGCTCACACCAGGAGGATGGTGCAAACTGACTTTGTTAAATCTGTGGAAATGCAATAAAGCATGATTAGGGCCTAAAGTCATTACTTTGCCACTTATGTAGTCCAGTAATTAGAGGGCCGTAGAATGTGAGAATAGCCCGTGTAACCTATAATCCATTTTAATCATGAATGAAATCAACTTTTCACGCTTAAAACGAGCATCGACTATGAAGACACACCATGCTTATTATATTGGCATTATTATCAGAATCTTATGTAAAGAAAAAATTTCAAACAGCAGCAGTGGAGTGCCGCCAGGTTACATTATCAACCCAAAATGCAGCAACAGTGGCCATAATGTGCTTAAACATGAGGACAGCATCGTTCTGCAGGAGAAGGCTCCTCCTATATTGAAATAGTTGGAAATGCTTTACGCATTCAGTGTTTGGTATTTGTGCACTAACTGCCATCGATTAATCAGTTTCTTAGTGGCAGCGAGAGTGTCCCTTTTAATGTGTATTGATCCGTGGACGTGGAAAGTTCAGGCTCCGCAGGAGAACTGTGCAGGTTCAAACCTCAGTAACACTTGGAGTATGAAGAACAACTTTATAGTTTAACCTGCTTGTGGCCTTCATCAAGGTTAGAGGTGCATTGATCCAACTTATTCCACGTACTCCTCAGAAGCCATTGTTGAATAAATACGCTGTTTTCTTCAGTCAGCCTTGGAATCCTTTGTTTGTGTGTAAGACGACAGCAGGCCTGACTGAAACGTTTATTAACTAAACCAAAGGTAAGAAAGAAATGCATCTGGAAATATACTGTAACCTGCACTTGAGTAAAATAATTAATAACACCAGGACAGAGATAAATAAAGCAAGAAAATGACTTTATTAGCGAGCCTGTTTATTTGCACTGGGCTTATTTAGGTGAGCCTTCATTGCACTCTGCTGTTATTAATGCTCGTGCTAGTTTTGGTGGAACTTTACATGAGAAATGCAGCAGGTGAAACTGCTGCATTTCTCATGTAAAGTTCCACCAAAACATGTTCTCACGAGAACAAAGAGGCCAGGACCAAACATGAGGGATATTGGGAAGCCAAGCGGGAGAGAATCCTCTGAACTTTCCAGTCAAATCATTTCATCAAAGTTTGCTTCAAACAAAAACGACTGCAAACATGTGAAGAAATGCCTCCAAACTGCTCACTCTTCTGTTATGTTGGTGCTTATTAGCTACCAGTCTGCTCCTCATGGCTTAGTGAACACAACATAGTTAATTAATGTTATCATAAAACAAAGTACAGACATCCTTCTAAACGGCAAAGATATGGAGGAGAAAACCGATTCAGAACAACCACAGACATCAGCAAAGATGTCTGCCGGTGACATGGCACACACAGTAATATGCAGTTAATAAAAGTCCATAGGAACGGTTACAAAATTGATAAGGTGGGCAGTTGTTTTCATTGCCCATAGAAATAAATAATTCCATTGATCGTGTGTATGAAAAACTTGCTGATGGCGGTTTAGCAGCACATGCTGTCATACTGCATTCATTGTTAATGAAACATCAGCGTGAACAGAATATCCGGGATGGATTTCCCAGTTTGTCCTCAGACTGATGCTTCCTCCAAGGCATCTCTGGAAAATGTGGAGCAGAATTTGACCCAGCATGACTTTGTCTGTTTTCATTTTGTCTCCACGTTGTGTGTGCAGGTCTGATGGGCGACACGGACCACCCGTACAGCAAGTTTGAGAACGAGTAAAGCAGCTGCAACGGAGGACGTCCGCGGGCCGCGGCTCTCACGCCTTTGCGTGGAACAAAAACACACCGACCCAAAAACAGTGCTGCAGAGCAGCAGCTGTCCGGTGATCTCGTTCAGACGTCAAACCTGATTGAAAATATTCTGAATTAGTTTAGCTTTGTGATTCTTTATGAAGGCAGTCGTGTGTGTTTAGTGGTTAAATCTTGTTTTTAAACTTTCTGCAAACCTATTTTCTCTCTTTTTAAATGTTGTACTCTCACATCAATCTTTGCACTTTGTACATACGTTGATTAAACGGTGATGACTGTGTGTTTCGATTCATTAATAAACCTCTTTAAGCTTTTTTTGTTTGTTTTAAATGTATGAGCTTCTGAGAGAGTGCATAAAGTGAGAGCATGATAAATTGCTGAGTGTAGCCCTGTCATAGACCACAGCACAAGCTGACCTCTGTCATTTTCCAATAACTTTTTAACTGAAAACATCGGGAAGGAGAATGTTGCTCCGAGTCGGACACCCACTAGTCTGCTTAATAACATGAAACTAAAATGCCTCAAAGCTGGACTGACCATGTTAACAAATGTTTTCCTCTCCGTCCACTGCTGTTCTCCCACTTCAGCGATGATCCACTTTAACCCTTTGATTATCAAGGCTGAAATAAAATGATTAATGATGAGCCTAAAAACTGCAAAATTGATGACACTAAACTTCTCACTTTTATATCATTTTAATAAAGCAAATGCATTTATATTCACTTTTCAAAGCCCACATTAAAAATGGGTTGATTGTTCAAAATATTTTTGTATATTAGCGATTGTTGATTAGCAGTCCTTGGTTCAGCTGTTTTAGCTCCCAGTCTCTTCATGTTGACTGTTCTGAGCTTCTGTCCATCAGAAACAGGTTTGAACAGCGAACAACCTCTTGGCTCTGACACCATACAGACCCAAGAGTAGAAAAAAACTGACCTCGTTATTTGCCCTGGTCCTGAAGATTACCCACAATAAATACATGACAGAAAATAAGGAAAAGCAGAGTGTGCATGCATGAATTCTGGATCGAGAACAGTCAACAGTTTGTAGAGAAACATTGTGGATTTAGATTTATTGTAATACCAGTGTAGTGAGGTGATGAGGAAGTTACATTCTCTGCCTGTTTTTGATCTATGTTATTACTCATGCTGTAGTTTTCTAAAGTGGCTGAAGACTGGAAAGATTCTGCAAGCCTGAAGCACAAAGACTCCCAACCGATGTGATTTTGGACACGATACAGAGATGTATGAAACTCCGTTTAGCTGTGTGATCGATCTGTTAGCTTTCAGAGTTGAATCAAATATGACTCCACGATTTAGGGCGGAAACAAATGTAAAAGATGATGTTACGTCTGCTCTTTGAATGTTTGAAGGGTTCTGTTCAATAACACAACATTAAGATTGAAGTGGTGGGTTGAACCTGGAGCCGTGACTTAAATGTATAAATATTAGTCTCAGCGCCTGTCACATGGTTTAGTATGCAGCTACATACTCTCACAGCAGTGTCCTTCTCAATGCATTATTGCTACTATACCTATATAATGTTAAATAATATGAAATTTGGGGGTTTAAACCTAATGAACCAATCGTTTCAGCTGTAGCGGGGGGCTAACATGTCAGAGCCGTGCTCGGGAATGACCATCAGACTCCTCAGTAAAGGGACACATGAGGAAAAAGGAATCTCCTCTCCTCACATTACCTGTCAGCATTCAGGTTCAGTTCCCTCACTGCCATGTGGTGCCGCCAGTGTACGTGGTTACCTCAGTCAAGCACGCAGGCTTGGTTCCCTTTTTAGAAGCCTTTTGTTAGCTTTTTATTATGACACTAATGACATATAAATAATGCAGCTGTCTAGATATGAATAAATGTATATCATGGTCAATCTGCAGTCAATCTATAATAGCTACTATCTATACAATATATATGTTTTTCCAAATAAAGCCTAATATTCTGGTTATTCCAAAGAACTGAATTAAATGAAAGGTTGGATATGCTGAGTATGGATGTCTCATCTTATCACTGGCATATGGTCAGGACCTGCTGGGATAATATTTTAAAGCACTATACCAGTCATTTTTCAACATGAATGATCGCGTGATCAACCTCAATTAAAGTCCTGTACTATGTGGAATAGACGCCATGAGACCGCATCCAGATGTTCTGTGTTGGTGCCAAAACTGTTGTGGGATTTGAAATAGATGAGAAGTTTCTTCTAATTTGTGATTAAAGTAAAATACATACATTAAAGACATACACCAATCAGGCATAACATTTTAACACAAGCGTGTTAAATAATAATGGTAAATGGACTGATTCTTATACAGTACTTTTCTACTCTCCCACACAAGCACTGTTATCTATGCTTTCTAACTCTATCATTCATACTCCGATGGATGCATCAGAGAGCAAGTCAGGCAATGCAAACCGGGCAGCCAGGGACCGACCACCAACCATCCGATCAGCAGCTGACCTGTTCTACCTCCTGCGCTACAGCCACCCTAATATGGGGTAGGCAAAAAATGTGATGTATTAGAAGCAGGAAAAATGGGCAAGCTAAACGACTGGGTCAGACTACCTCCAAAACTGCAGCTTTTGTGGGACGGTCCCATTGTACAGTGATCAGTCTTTATCAAAAGTGGCCCAAGGAAGGAACAGTGATGAACAAGTGACAGAGTCATGGGCAGCTTGCTGGCACAGGTAGGTAGTGAAGGCTGCCTTGTGTGGTCTGATCCAACCAATCCAACCAGTAAGCTACTGTTGCTCAAACTACCAAAAAAAGTCAATGCTGGTTCTGATAGAAAGGTGTCAGAATACATAGCGTTACACAGTTTGTTGCGTTTGGGGCTGCATAGCCAGAGAGCAGTCAGGGTGCCCATGGTAACCCATGTAAAGCACCAACGAAGGAGACGTGAGCATCAGGACTGAACTATGGAGCAATGGAAGAAGGTGATCTGATGAATCACATTTTCTTTGGCATCGCATGAATAGCTGGGTTGCGTCACTCACCTCAGGAACACCTCGCACAAGAATGCACTATGAGAAGAAGCTGGCAGAGGCAATGTGATGCTTTGGGCAAACCTTGGGAGTGGCACGAGCATCTACCTAAGCATTGTTGCCATGTAGACGTTTTCATGGAAATGGTATTCCCTGATGGCCGTTGCCTCTTTCAGCAGAAAACGTACCCTGCCACAAAGCAAAAACAGTTCATGAATTGTTTGAGAAGCACAACAACAACAAGCTTGAGGTGTTGGCTTGGGCTCCAAATTCCCCAGATCCCATCTCGAGCATCTGTGGGATGTGCTGGACAAGCAAGTCTCATCCACGGAGGCCCCCACCTCACAACTTAAAAGATCTTGGTGCAGATACCACAGCTCACCTTCGGGGGTCCAGTGGAATCCATGTCTTGATTACGCTGTTTGTTTGTTTTTTGCTCCAGTTTTGGTGTGTTGGATGACTTTGCCCTTATTAGGAGGAGTTGGGGTCTGGAATGTGGGGCCTCCCTGCTGCTGCGGAGTCAGGGCGGTCTGCATCTCCCCACGCCAGGGAAAAGGGTAGCACCACCTGGGTCTGGGTGCCTTTTACCCCTCCAGGGGCAAGGGTACCTAGAACCGGTTCTTAGAGTACGCTTGGGGAGTGTGATCGTGTGTACAGCGTCTCTTTATGTCTGTCTCCACGTTGGGTGAGTGTGGAGTAAGTGCATATGAGAGCATGAGGGTGGGAATGGATGTTTGTATCTGTGTGTGTCTGTATGTCTGTGTCCATATGTCAGGTTGGGTGTCAGACGCCACCTCTATGGGGACATCTCAGGCCCTCCAAGGTATGGAGGCCTATCTCCCCCCACCACTTCCCCTGCCAGTGGCAGACGCCCTCAGACATCGGTGCATTGGTGGTCCTTGGCTCTGAGAGCCTCTGAATGTCTGGAGCCTGGATCTCCTCCATACCTGCTTCATGCCCAGGAGGACGGGTCCATGGCTCCCCACACCCTGTAGCACAGTGGTTCCCAAACTTTTTTTGCTGGGCCCCCCTTTGTTTTGCAAGAAAAATGTTCGCC